AGAAGATTAAGACTTTTGAAGACGAGAAGAAATTGATTTCTTTGCGATTAAATAAATACAAAGAGATTCTGGAGAAGAAACGCATGGATTCTCCCAAATCTGTGTTGTCGTCGGCTAAGAGTGTGTTGGCGGCCACTCAATTGGGGTCCGGGAATGTCATAACCGCCCGTCAGGTCGAGGAGCTTATCGGTGAGTGTAGTCTCATAACTGTCTAATTGACTGCGATATTAATGGGAAGGGATGGGTGCTAGTCTTGGATTGGGTGTTAAAGTAGTGTTTTTGATATTGTGCATGTATGCTTTCTAGTTTATACCTTTAACTAGCATAATTTGTAATATATTGACAAGTGATAAAAAGTACAAATGAATATAAATGACTCTGAATTATATGTCTCGCTATTTTCTCTCTTAGCTACCGATGCTCTCAATAACATGGAAGTGACGGCCAATAATTTGTCTCAATTAAGGAACCTTGTGATCGCACTCTTCGACGGTAACCATACTATTGTTTATTATGTGATGAAATAAAAATCTTTTCAAACATTCAAATCAAAGTTTTCATTGAATTCAGTTTTTTAATTCCCAATTCAATTCGTAAACCTTTCTAAGTTATCAAATGTTATTTACAAAAAATAACAAATACAAAGATTTTTATTGAATTATAGATTTTGAAATAATGTTTACAAATCAAGTGTTAAATAAGTAATTTTTATTTAGAATTAAGAGTGGATTCTATTTATGCTAAATATTTGGCAAATCAATACAAATTTCATTAAACGTGATAATCATTGAATGCATTTTTAAATGTATGTTTCATTCAGTAGTTAAGACTAATTAGTTTGAAATGATTTTAAATATTATGTAGTTTTTATGAACTTATAATATTGTCATATTTATTAATCATTAAAATTATGCAAAACCTAAACAGGACTCCAGGATAAGAGTGTATCGCTTTCCCATTCAAAGAAGACGAACAAAATTCTGGGCAAAAGAGTCGAAGAATTAGAGAATCAGTTGCGAAGTGTCCGCTCGAAAGACAAGTTACCGATCGTTAAGACTGAAAGTCTTGAGAGTAATACCAGTAGTAATACAAACACGACATCCAATGTGGAAGACGTGGCCACACCTGACGATGAACTCGACGACGAGATCAGCGACAGGACCGGCGGTCGAGACAACGGCAACGAACGCGATGTCGACGCCGAAGACGACGACGAATTGCCCCCAGAGTTGGACCGACTCGTCAAAGATGCCATAAATGAGCTCAAGATTAGGGACTTAGACGAACCCATCGGCCAAACAAACCCTTTAACCAACACTTTGTATCAATAATTCTGTTGTTTATAACGATTATTAAGTTTTTTAGAAACATATGATTTAAGTTTTATAGTCTATTGTGTTATGGGATTTAAATGCAAACCATTTATGATTGAATTTACTGTAAAAATTTGAATTAATTTTATTTTGTATAACGTTAAACCTTTTAAGTATTTAATGATGAAAATGAATTTTGTTATAAAGATATTTATTTGATATAAATTTATATTTAATTAATGTGTTTACCACTTGTGATGAATTATAATAAAAATATAACTAATATTAAGCATATAATTTGACTACAAATTATGAATTTCTAATTTATTCTGACAATTTTTCTATCATATACTGTAATTGTCAATTGATTTTCGGGATTATATGGTTCGGGATTTTGTTTTTCGGGATTTTGTGTGTATACGCGGTCACAACGAAATGATAGAAAATTAAGTATATTTCTTCAATCTAAAGATCAATTTAATTGTCTAAAGAATTAATCAATTTCTATGAAGAATGAGTTTTAATGTCTAATTCATAAATCTATTAAAACTAAAATATTCTTATAAGAAATGTTTTTATTTCGTTTCAATGCTTTAACTTTAATTAAGTATTAGTGTTCAATAACTTATTTTATTAATCAAATAAGTTATTGAATAAATGATTTCCATCAATGAATTGCACCATTAACTTTAATGGTAATAGATATTGAATTAAATGTTAAATAAGTTAAGGTATTGAAGATTTATACTCTTTATAAGCAAAACAATTTTAAATCTATCATTTTTCACAATCCTAATGAAATAACATAGATTATTTTAGGGCAAATCTGCATCCACATTATATTAATAATTGAAATATTAATTTGTATAAAAATATTATTATTATTAAATATAATAATTAATTCACATTGTAATTTAAATGTCAAGTGTATTACATATAAGTAAACAGATAATTCAAATCTTCCGAGTTAATGATATTACTTTTATCATAAAATATGCTTACTTAAATACACAGTACAGTAGTATGAAAATGTAATCCATACTATGACAGAAGTATTATAACTTCTGAGAAGTTCAATGATAATTAAAGTTTATACACTTAACTAAACTGTCATCAATGCACTTAATCTATTTGATTACAGTAGAGCAATTTACTATAAATGCATTCAGATTTTGGCAAACCTTCGAAATAACATTAATTTCTAATACTGTACAAAATGACACTAATTTTCAACAGTAATTTAGTGTTGTTATCACTGATTGTGTTTATTTTAAACGCATATTTAGTGAAATGTGAGTTTAGTAGCGACTGTTACAGAGCTGCTGTTTATGAACATATACTTCAGGGAAACGTTACCACAGATGAGCCCTCGACTATCATTGAGAAAAACCTCAAAGTTTACAAAGAAATTGCGACCAAAGCGGCAGAAAATGTAATAAATTTTATACCTTTCGATAAACTAATAACTATTTTCTAACGTAAAAAGGGGGCAAACATTTTGGTGTATCCTGAGGATGGCCTAATAGATCCTATGTATTCACGCGACATTATGGCCACATTTGTTGAACAAATACCTGACCCAAGAAAAGGCACTTTTAATCCATGCGATAATCCATCGCAGTATAAGTCCAGTCCTATAACACTATCTCTGAGCTGTTTTGCCAAAACAAATCACTT